ATTTAAAACAAAGGATTCATGACCTAAGACTTATAAGGCAAGTTAGATTCGGGACCAAGAAACCCATGAAGAGTTAACAGCAACAATAGTGATAATAATGATAATACAATGATGGTGATAGTGACGATTGTGATAGTAATGATGATAATAATAATGATAATAATAATAATAATAATAATAATAATAATGATAATAACAATGAAAAAAACACAGTCCAGTTCTACTAATTTTATTACCTATCGTCAGCACAGGAAGAGAGCAAGATGGCCAAGTTGCTACCGAAACCAGCAAACTGGGATGTTTTCCACATGCGGGTCTTGGGGATGTAATACTCGTTCATGGGCACCTCATCATTGAACAGGCCCAGTAACGTAATGAACTGAAATGTGAAATAGAATCAAACTGTGTAACTTAGCTTTGCCGTTTAGTATTCTGCCTTTGATGAGCATAGTGGTAAAATCAGTCTATCAATGTGGTAGTTTTTTAATGGTAAGAATAATGAAGATACATCTTTGAAGATACATCAATTGCTAGTTTTTTTGCCTGAAAAAGTCCAAACATATTGACCTATATAAATACTTGTTTCGTTCATCAGACATGTAAAGACTAATATCTTAATGAATTTTCACACACACATAAATAAAAACAAACTTACCGTTACCAAAGCTTCCGGATTGACGAAATACGAGGCAGCGTAGAGTTCCGTACTGCCGCTTTCCGCTCGATTTCTGAAATTGACGATTCTTGGCTTATGAAAACGAACGTGTATTGTAAAGACATGTGCTAATGAACGATTTTGTACATGCAGAAAGGAAGCGCCAGAGTATAAAAAGAAAGTAAAGTATAGAAGAGAAGAACATAGCAAAAGCTGAGCTAAACTAATAAACAATAGAAAACATGAGAACATAGTACAGTACCGGAACTGATCCATCAGGTCTTTGCCAAGAACGCAGGCTTGCTTTGAGCTGATCTCGAAGCGGTGGCCTTGGTCGTGATACACCCTGAGGTCTTCCCAGTATTCTAGTGCCTACCGGACAGCAATGTCTATATTCAAAATTGCAAAATTTTCGTTTAAAGTGACAAGGTCAGCAATCCATGTACACACACACATATATAGACAGATAGATATACAAATGCGCGCGCGCGTGTGTATGTGTGGTGTGTGTGTGGTGTGTGTGTGTGTGTGTGTGTGTGTGTGTGTGTGTGTGTGTGTGTGTGTGTGTGTGTGTGTGTGTGTGTGTGTGTGTTTTGTTTGTGAACGTATACGGGCATATGCTTATGCATATATGTGTAATGTATGCGGGTGATTATGTGTGAGTGCTGTATACGTATAAGCATGCGCGTGTATATGATTTTTTAATATTTTTTTTTCTGGGCAACACAGCCTACCTCGAGATTCTTCGGGGTGAAGACAATGCACCAGGGCGACACTTTATTTCTGTACCACGCATAGTAGTACCGGCATGCGTTGTACATCACACGAACATCGGCTGGATTGAAAAAGCAGATATTATTGGGATATTTCCGAGTGAAAAAAGTGATAATTGAAATTGTAAACAGTATTGTATATCAGATATTCATTGCACGCGCGTTTACCTTCTCCTGAACAGGTAAATCCTGCTCAGAGACAGAAACAAATGGTAAAGAAAACGAAGGTGACATTTCGGAAAAAAAAACGTACCCACGGTTACCGGAAATCCAAGACGCTCGGACACACTTTCAAGAACAGAATTCATGATGGCCCCTGACATGAAGTTGTGGTACGGCTTCAACTTTTTGTCCATGTTCAATACACCTTCAATGTAGTTTTTACAGTAGTCGAAGAACTGAGTGGTGGGTAAAACACTATACATTAATACTGTTCGCTACATGTTTGAAAAAGATAGACAAATAGCCACTGAATCAGTAGCAGACAAGCTCAACATCTCTGTGGGTTCTGCACACAATTCTAGTGGAGAATTTGGGGCTAAGCACGCTTTCCGCTCGATGTATCCCTAGGTTGTTGCGCCCAGATTAAGAACAAACAAGGGTAGATCTTTCAATGGAAATTCTGAACAAGTGGAATAAGGATTCTGAAGCTTTTCTTCAGTGAATTTGTGAAACAGGATGAAACGTGACTCTACCATTACGATCCCAAGGACAAAATTCAATCAAAGCAGTGGCTGCCCAGGGGTGGAAGTGGACCAGTCAAAGCAAAATCTGAACGTTCGAGAGGAAAGGTCATGGCCACTGTTTTCTGGGATGCAGAGAGGATATTGCTGGTTGACTTTCTCGAGAGCAAGAAAACAATTACATCTGCTTATTTTGAGGAAAATGTAAAAAAAATCTCAGAAATACGCGCTGGAAAGCTGCATCAATGCGTTCTCTGCCACCACGACAAACACACACATGTATATGTATATATATATATATATATATATATATATATATATATATATATATATATATATATATATACACACATATATATACATATACACACACACACACACACACACAC